CTAACCAATTCGTATTGGATTTGCTGATATGACTTTGGCCCTGACAAGTGGATGTGAGGACCGAGACCATTACGGTCAGACATACGACACTTTGAATAAGTCTGACTCCTCTTCTGTGCTTCTTCAGTATCCCAATACGCAACCATTATTTTCCAGATATCTTCATAGATCCAGTCGGGTTTTTCACGACTCGTCCTCGCGTTGCTTACCATGTCCTTCATCCGGCGTCCACAGATTTCCTCGAACCACCATTGAACTGTCCCTGTTATCAAGGGATCCCAGGTGTGGGTTTTCTACAACACAAAGACATCAAGACCAGAGTTAGTGGAAGAACAAAAATGCAACCAGATTTGAAGGCTATAGGACATAAGACTTTACCGCAAACTCGAGGAAGTATCTTTCTTGTCTCTTACGAGGCACACAAGTCCAACTATAATAAGGACCATCAAATTTGTTAGTAAAGATTTTAGTAATCTTCCTAACAAGTCTTGATTTTTCATCGCGGTCAAACCTGCAGCATTTGTAAACAAGTGAAGAAGTTAATAGTATCAAACAAATCAAAACAAGTAAAGAAGTCAAAACAAATATCAAACAAGTCAAAACAATTCATAACAAGTATCAAACAAGTCATTACTAGTATGAAACAAGTAGATTGAACTTGCAGCATTTGTAAACAAGTGAAGAAGTTAATAGTATCAAACAAATCAAAACAAGTAAAGAAGTCAAAACAAATATCAAACAAGTCAAACAATTCATAACAAGTATCAAACAAGTCATTACTAGTATGAAACAAGTAAAATCAAGTATCAAATCAAGTATCAACCTAAGATTATAAATCTAACTCAGACTCAGCAATTACTACAAGAAGTTTAAAAATAAAGAGACCAGATGCATGTGTCAAACGAGAGACCAACTACTAACCATCAAAGACAAGAATCATGTGTGAATACACTAACAAATCAATACTATCAACCTAAAACATCAAACTAAGATACCTAAGAGACATCAAACATATCTTATAACACTCACACTCACACATCAATGGATCAAGAGACATATACCAAGTTGTGTTTGACAGCGGCGTTGGAGAGAGGACGGTGGTAAACTTCTCGCGGTTTGGCACCAGAAGCAAGGCATTTAGATCCCTCACCGTGTCCTCCTGTAGCTCCGGCGACATTGGTTCTAAAGTATCCTCGAAATTATTCCCTTGAGATGATGGATGAGACTGACCCTGAGAGTGATGAAGTGGAGATCCTGGAGGATCCACTTGTTCAGGAGGTTGCTGTCTAGGATCCCGAGAAGGTTGTTGTCGAGGTTCCTGTTGTCGAGAAGGTTGTTGTCTAGGATCCCGAGAAGGTTGCTGTCGAGGTTGTTCCTGCTGGACTTCTTGTTCAGACAACCCATGGTCTTCACGTGGTTGATTCACCGAGCTCTGGAAAAGCCTTTGTGGCGGTGGATAGTCCCGAAAATGAGAAGCTCTTGACGAAGACAGTTGAGGGGAAACGCGGACTGGCTGGACTTGCTCTAGGGGCGACTCAGGCTGAGGAATCTGCTCCTCCGGCGCCGGCGTGAACTCGTATTGAGGAGGTAAAGGGTTTTTTCTTTTCGATGTGTTGGGTTTGGAACCGACTGGCCTCTGAGACACATTTGGAATGGAGAATCTCTTGCGGCCTCGACGTTTGTTGTTAGCTACAGGCATGGCTAGATCGATTTGAGAATGAGCAAGAGATTTGAGGAAGAGATTGACGAAGAGATTCGATTTGAAGAACGAAATTAGGGTTTCGTTTAGGAATTTGATTAGAGATTCGATTTGAGACTAAGGAAGAGATTGAGGAAGAGATTGACGAAGGGAATCGAAGGAGATGAAGAATCGAGGATTCGATTAGGGTTTGGAAAAGGGGATCGGTGGGAAGAAGGAGAAGAGAGTGAGAATGAAATTAGGGTTTTTGTGCTTCTCGATTCCCTTTGTGCGTTTTCTTCAGAGGGAAAACGAGTGGGCATGCCGAATTGGGCTTAAAATTTGGGTTTGGTTTCGCGGTTTTTATTAAACCCAAAATTTTCACTATAGTCGCTAATTTGAAGCCAAATAGTCGCTATTTTAATTTTAATTTTAATTTTAATTTTTAAGAGTATAAAGTTTAATTTTTATAGTTTATAATAATTGTATTGATGGTTTAGAAACTTTAATTTATAAGTAAATGGTTTTTATTTGTAAAAAACATATAATGGTTAATTATTAGTTTTTATGCTTTCTTAATTAACTTCTAAGATTCAGAATTAAAATTTTCATGTTTGTAGTTTATGTGATTTAACTTTTGGAGGTATATATATAGATAATGTTATATATTATAAGTTTTAATTATAGGGATATTAAGTTTTAAAAAATTATAACTAGTGTTTGATTTAGTTATTGGGGTTTATTTAAGGGTTAGGGTCTATATTTAGGGTTAGGATATAAGTTTCAAAATCTTAATTTGGTATCTATGTATAGATTTAGGTTACTTAAATAGCTACTGATTTCCGACTAATAGGCGATTGATATAGCGACTCGGTTATATAGTCGCTAAATGGCGACTCATTAACGACTAAACACAAATAGTCGCATAATAGTCGCCAAATAGTGGCTATACAGTCACAAAATTAAGCGACTACTTCTATAGTCGTTATGCATAGTCGGCAATCAGCTGTTTTCTTGTAGTGTTAACTGCACATCTCTACCTGGAATCACAATTTGTATTATTTGAGCCTTCACTACATTCATGTAACCCCAATGAATCCAACTTAATTAATGCTTTATGTTTTAGCATAGACTCTCGATCTTGGTCATAATATCAGAAATCCAACAATAAACTTGTCTCAGGTACTATCAAGTCTTTGTCCATCCTTCAATCATCACTATAGAACACTTTTGTTAATTTCTACACATATCCATTTTTTTTAGTGATGAAGTCCAACTTACCAACCAACAACATATACAACACACTTACTTGTAGGAACTCATGCATTTCTTGAATCCGAAAACGATTTTGTCAATGAAAGACCTCCACCACATACCATTCTTGATTTTTATTAAGAAAACATATTAAGGACACCTTAGATATAAAACTTCCTGCCAGAGCCGTGCGAACGTTAGCAAGTATGAGAAGCGAATAAAAATAAAATGCTCTTAATTATATATATAAAAAAAAACCGTCTACAAAACTAAACCATCGTCATTCATCATATAATAAAAAAACATTAAAAAAAAACAAACTAGCAAACATAATATTAGTCCTTAAACATTTGTTTTCCTTTTCTCTCCACAAAATCGTTAACCAAGCTTTCAAAATCAATGTTTCTAACCAATTCTCTTTCAATGGATAAAATAGCCAAGTCACTCAATCTTTCTTGCGACATAGTCGAACGAAGATACGATTTGATCAACTTCAGCTTTGAAAAACTTCTCTCAGTAGATGCAACCGAAACTGGAATCGTCAACAATATTCGATAAGCGATGCATGAGTTTGGATAGCAATCTTCAACTGTTTTCAAAAAGTCGAATACCTCAATAGGTCTTTTAACTTCTTTTGGTAAAGCTTCTCTTAGAACTTTAAGTTCAAAGAAAAGATCATGACCAACAATATGATTGCTTTCCATGGGTTAGAGAAACTTCAAGATTGACACAAGAAGCCATCAAACTATCATCGCTCGCTGATTGCAATTTTCTCAAATCAAACAAAAAACCAAATATTTGTTCGTACCTCTGAAATTGCTCAAACCTCGTCTCAATTGAGTAGAGAGCTTGATCCATGATTTGGATGAAGTAGTAAACCCTAAAGCTCTCCTCAGGTGATAATGTCACACTTCCCACCATATTCTCTGATTCTTCACCATAGTGTCTTTTTCTTTTAATCACCCGCTTTGCTTTTTTGGGAAATACAGGATCGATCTCCAAAGATTATGCAATTTCTTTAGCTTCTGCTTTTGCTTTCTCAAAGCCTGACTCTTTATATTTTTGAAAATATGAAACCAACCCCTTGAGTTGAGAAATAGCTACATCAATGTTCATGTCTTCTGACTGCAAACTCTTACTCACGATGTTAACAACAGATAGAAGATTATACCAAATAACCATGGAAACAAGGAACTCAAAACTTCCAATTTCATGTGTTTCACTTGTTGCAAGACATTCAGCGTCGTTATGTTCTTTCGGATCATCACTATTTTCAGCAATGTACACTAACGCATTCATGATTTTAGGAGCCTGAAATCGTATAGCCTTTACACTTTCAACATGGCTCTCCCAACGAGTGTGTGATAAAGGCTTAAGTGTTAGGCCATCTACATGATCCTCAAATATTTTCCACCGCTTAATTGAAGATGAAAAGAAACAATAAGTGCGCTGAATAATCCCAAAAAATGAGATTGCCTTTGAAGAAGTGGTTGCCATATCACTTTCAAATTGTTATCTGGTTCTGAGTTAATCAATACGAATTCGTGGCCCTAAGCAAGTTAGGTCCGAGATCCGACACCAGCAATCACTTATCAAAAAATGTAATTATTGAAGACCTTTTTTTTGTGCATTAAAATTTTCTAGAAACACTTTTTGAAAACATATACTCACAATGACCCTAAGTTTCTAGAGAGGGCTTTTACACTTATACCGATACTATGTCGACATTTGAACCTTCCGAAAGACTTCTACACTTATACTGATAACCACAATCTTAAATTAGACCATTTATCCTTTCTTCATTTATGTTTTACGACTTTTTTCAACATAAATTCAGATTCTCTCGTTAATCATGCATGCGGTCGCATTCTGAAGAATACACTAACAATCTTATTATTCTACAAACCTTACCTTGCCAGAATTTGAAATTTTTTTAACAAATTCGGTTCAAAGCTTTTAGTTGATGTCAACTTTTTTGGATCCTAATAAGAAACATATGATTATTGCCACTATAAGATCATCCGAAGATTAAATATAAATTCCTATAAATATCGATGGTGTTCCATATTTTAGCAAGAAATTTTTGTTTGACTCCAAAGAACATTCGAAGCTCTTTGAAAAATCTAGTATTCAAACTATATATGTATGCATAAACTGATCAAATAAATGATACATTATATCAGCGCATAAGATTTTAACTCCCATTTCGTCAGCAAGTTCACGAGCCTCTGTAGTCACTTTCACGTCTAAAGCCAAAATTGTAGCAAATTCCTTTTTCCTCTCGAGCATCACTCCCGCCTTCATTACATCCTTCTTTTGCACAGGCCCTATGCCAATACCACTAACAGGTAACTTTATAGCTGGGGACTTCAAGAATTCAAGCAATGCTTCCAAAGACCCTAATGTAGACGCTTGTACATAAACTCCTTCACCACTTTTGTCAATCCTGCTCAAAATCGACTCAATATCTTCCATGACCAACTCCTTCATGGCTTCGATGTCATCATCAGGTCCAACCACATGCAAGGTGGTACCAACAATTGCGTGTTCAAGGCCCTTTGAAACATAACCCAAAAATGGGAAATGATATTCAGAATGTGATCATTTAAAACTAAAGGTTATACTAAGATTATTGTAGCGTCAGTCTAGTCACCTGGGCAATAATATTGATACACTGTGCAGCTGTAATTACTTCGTGATTCTCATGATTACCCTGAAATATCAGACCAAGAATAATTCTCATTGTGTATATAAAAATTACGTAAGGTGGTATTTGCATGAACTTTATATTTAAAGTACATTCACATGTAACTCCTTGATTGGATGAGGAATCAGTAATGCTCTAATCGTTGTGACAATAGGTCCCTGAAATATAGGAGAGAAATAAGATCACTTTTCTAAGTTCTATGTAACTTGTTTGAGTTTGGATCATAAGTTTTTACTTGCCTCTAGACCGCAAACGACGATTTGATCACCTTCATGGAGTTCACCGTTTACCAACACAACATCAATCGTTGTACCATATCCTTCCATAACTTTGCCCTCAAGGACAATACACTGTTCAACAGTTTCAAGAAAAGGATCAGAATCAAACATGCTGAAGTAATGCAGAAACAAGTGTTACCTAGAAGAGAAAGGAGAGAGACCTGCACTTTATCAACATATGTAAGTTTCTCAACCACTGTTTTCTGAGACAATTGAACCAATAACAACAAGAGATCTGAGATGCCTTCCCCACTGAAATATCAAGAACCAAAGTTACCCAACTATTTAGGATAAATTACAAACAATAAACAAAGAGAGACTCATATACCTAATAGCACTAGTAGGAACAATACTAAAAGTTTCTCTCATTTCTTTATTCTTGTAATAAAGCTCAGTGTTGAGTCCTTGATCCTTAAACTGGTCTATAATCTGGAACACCAATGAAACAACATAATTATTTGAAGAATTATGTACCAAAGTGATAGCTCAAAGTATAACCGAACCGAACCAAATTACCCAAATTTAACTAAAAAATGAATTTAGCCTTGGTAAACTTAAAACAAAGTTAACAGAATCAAACCGAACCGAATTTATTTTCGCATGATTTTGACATCTCTCTCAAAAATAAATTGTTAAGCGATAACCGAACTGAACCGACCCGAAGAACCGAAATCTTATGGCTACCTCTAACCATAGATAAGAAACTATATACGAATAACTTACCTCATTCAGCCTCATGTTAAATTCATTTCTAACATCGTTAGTTTGTTGCTTCATTGCCTTCATGATAGGAGCATTCTCACAAGTTTTCCATCCATATAGCCTATCCACCTATAAGTATGTTGAAATTTTTATTTACCCTAAAAGTATTAATTTACACCACAGAACAAAAAATCACAAGCAGTTTTACCTTAGTCAATGCAATAATGAACTCTATATTCCTCTTTTTCAAAAGATTTAGACATTCTATAGTTTGTGGTTCTAACCCATGCATTATGTCAACCAACAAAATTGCAAAGTCACACAAACTTAAACCTCTTGAACGAAGATTCATGAAGAACTCGTAGCCAGGTGTATCGATAAACAATAGACCTGGCACGTTGAGTTTTGCATCGGATTTCAGTTCCATGGTCTTCTCTAGGATGTTTCTCGCTGAGAGATATGTTGCACCAATCTTTTGAGTGGTACCTCCAGCCTCGCCTTCTTGTACATTTGTTCCTATGATGTAATCCAACATCTTTGTTTTACCACTATCGATATGACCCATGATGCAACAAATGGGAGAGCGGACATTTTCTTCACCTCGAACACTCGGCTTCTTCAGATCCATTGGTAAATTTCAGGGTCTTTCTAACAATCTAACAGAAACAATCGAAGAAACTTTAACTTATCTGGGAGATGACTTGATCGACAAGGTTGAGATGGAAAGTAGAAAACGAGAAGTAGCGAAGCTTTTTCTTTGTGAAACTTCCTACGGTGGAGCAAAAACGTTGTGTAAGATAATATATATTCTACGTCTGTAACGATGCTGCTTAAATAATTTCTCGACCATGGTAGCTTTAATTTTTTTTTCTCTAATTAAGATTGAATTACATAATCATTGAAAAATGGAATGAAATCTACTATTTATTAAAAAGTTAAGTAGTTTTAAAGAAAAATCTTAAGTTTATTATTATTCATATCCAATGCCATTAATTTTTATTTTTATGATTTTTCTAACTTACTTAAAGGGTAAAAGCTAAAGTTACACATAAACATAAAATTTAATTATTGCATATCTTTAAAAAGATTTTCACAAAAAGACTTTTTTAATTTATTATTTATAAATTTAATTGGTTTCACTTTTATTGAGTGATAAATTTCTTTTTAAAATATACTTTATTAAATTCTGAAATACATTAGATAAACATTTATATTATCTATTCATCAATCAATACAATAAAAACACTAAAGTTTCTCTCCAGTGCTGACACATCAGCTTTTTTGGAGTGTTTTGGGCATGACAAATCATTAAAATCATCATCTAATGAAAACATTTGGATTAATACACAACAGATTTTTTGGCCAATAATCATTCTTCTTGCTTTTTTTAATGTTATCCAATTTGTTCTTGGGCTCTAACATATGAGCTTAATGTTTTAGAATAGGGTTGTTGGACTTCAATTTACTTGTAAAGTTTACTCTTTGGATAAAACTGGATACAAATCGAATTAGATAAGAACTATTGCAATAAAATATTATCATATTTATTCAACGTTATCATGGATCTTAATGAATAACTAATAATCATTTGAGTAACGTTCTACACTCCTATAATAAAACAAAATTTCAATTTTCAAATTCTAAAAAACAAACAAACAAAGATCTTAGCATTTTACGCCTCTTCAACACATGAATCAAGTATGCATATGGAACATTAAAATCAAAGATGATCATTCCATATAACATATTCTCAAGTATCTAAGTCATGAGTTCTATACAGCTATGGCATGTCCATATACATATAAGTCCGATCGAACCAAATATCATAACTTTTGTCAAAAATTAAAAGCTCAACGATTGCATCGACGATATATTCAAATCGGAGAAAACAAAACGGAAACTTGAGTAAAAAAAAAAAGAAAAAAAAAAGAGATTTACTTGTGGGCACTGAATTCAAATTCCAATTCCATCAATCGCTGAGAAGAAGACGTAGGAGATTTAGAGTTCGATTGCGGAACACCGCCATAGCTCTGCCGCACTCCGGCGATAGAAACTCATTTAGACACACAGTGAAGCAGTCGTCTCTTATTGACTGTCATTAGTGAAGGTCTTTTAGATATGAAAGCAAAGGTCTTTTTTTTCCTCCGTTTAAATGTTTATCTAATCCATCTCTCTCATTTGTTCATCTGTTTATCCAGAAAAAATGATCGTTTTCTGACTTTTTCGGGATACAAATTTTATCATAATAGTAAACTGATTTACGGTTTGGTCTCGGTTTAACATTCCAATTTGATTTGGTTCCTTTTTTGCCTTCAAATTATTTTAAATATTAAATATTTGCTTAAAATCATTTCTCAAATTCTAAATATCTTAAATATTTGAAAAAATCATTTAAAATATCTCGCGGCGGAGCGCGGGTTTCGACCTAGTATTCTTAATACTAGGGCGGTGTGTTAATTGTTATCATCTAGTTATAATATTATTGCAAATGTGGTGTAGATTCTAAGCCTTTTTCATTTATTAACCATTGGATTTTTGTAAACTTGAAAAATCTGGTCAGATTAGGCCATGAGATGAGAAAACTTATATACAAGTCGGTCCCAAGTCGGGCTAGTGTAATTAACACTATAAGAAAACATAGCGTTTTCTTACAAAATTTCCTACCAAACTATTGGTAGGAATATATTCCTATCAAATTCCTACGCATTTGTTACGAAACGTATTTTTCGTAGGAAATTTGAAAGATATTTCGTACGCCGAAATCCGTGAAATTTTCGTAGGAAAATTCTTACGGAAAACCATTTCGTAGGAAATTTCTTAGGAATATCGAATGAAACGGGAAGGAAAATTTTGGTAGGAAATTCGAGGGAATATTTTCGACCTGTCTCTTACGAACAGACCTTCGTAGGAAAAATCGTAGGAAATGCGAAGGAACATTATGGGAAAATAATTGGTAGGAAATTCGAAGGGACAGCGTAGGGTTTTTATTAACACGTTTGTAGTTCAGTAGGTGGTGTGTGTTGTAGGTAGGTGGTGTGTGTGAAATAACGTGTTGATTATTAGATTAATAAGATAATATTTTTTTTGAATTCCTATGTAAAAATTTTGTACTAACAATATCATAAATTAATAATCATGTAAATTTACATATATATATATATATAAAGATAATACATTTTTAATAGTTTTTAAAATGAATTTCTATTCATAAAAAAAAGCTAAAATTTTCTGTAAGTTTTCAAAATTTAAATAAGTATAATTTTTATTTGAATAATCATATAGGCCATTCAAATACAACAGTTGATGTCATTATGTTACATAATTTTTTGTATATGTGAATTCATCTATAATCTTTGTTATTAGTGTTAAAAATTGTTTTTCTAAATATTAAATGTTCAAGTCTAAAATTTCCAAAGTTATAGCATCCAAAGTAATACTTTTATTTAGATCAAATTATTTTCACTCATATGTTTTGAAGAATTTCTTAAAATTAAAACAAAACCCTCTATAAATTAATAAATATTAATTTACACTATTAATTAATAATTATTAATTATAGATAAATTAATATCAAGTTGACAAAAAAAAGATACATTAATATCACTATAAATTAATAAATTATCATGGTCCCAACATTATTAATTTATAGAGGTTTTACTGTTAAAAGAAAGACATAAACGTTTTTTTATGTTCTAACTGAAAAAATTAAATCTAATATTTCAAAACGTAAACACGTGAAAAAATTATATACCATTCAAGCTGGAAAAATTGTTAAAATTAACCCAAACATTTTGTAGAATACCCTTAGATAACTAAAGAATGATACCATGTATAACATTTTATAATATCTATTTAAACCGTAAATCTCTTTAGGCTCTGGTCTTTTGGTGCAATTCTGGTATAATTCTAAAAAAAATAATCATTATTTCATTTTAATTTTTGAATATTAATAATTATTTGTGTTTCACTATAAAATTTATTTGTTTAATATTTGAATAATTATTTAGTAATTATTTATGGTTTTTAGTATCATGTTTAAAAGTTTTATACTTTTTCTTAAATACAGTATAGGTTTTGGTGTTTTTATACTTTTCTCAATTATATATTACATTTATCTTGGTAAATTTTGGTTTAACTGCTATTGTATCCGCTGATCAACAGTTGTAAATCTCCCGCAAACACATCTGTTTTTAACCGCTAAACCAGTCGATCAAAACGCTAATTAACGCTTGAAGCCGCAACCGTCCGCTTTCGTAAACTCCCACAACCGCAACCGCTGCATAGGTTTTCACTCTTTTTACCTTCTTCGTAGGTTTTCTCTTTCGTAAGTCTTCCTTTTGTGATTTTAGTTTCCTAGGATTTTAATGTTTTCGCCGGCTTTATTTTTAGCATTTTTGTACACTTGTGATGTAATACATTTAATCTAATATAATCCAGATGACAAAAAAGAAAGAGAAAAAGAAATTTTTTTTTGACATAGGTATTATTCGTTTGTCAGTATCTGCGACTGCTACTGAAAATTGTTCGTTTGACAATCTTAAGATTTTGCGACTAATCGTGTGATCAGTCGCTGTGACTAGCAACTAAGTTTTTTGATTGCATGAAAATTAGCGATGCGATTTTTTAAAATGACGATTAGTCGCAATGACTAGTCACAAAATTGCTAAACGAACAATATCCCGCGATTTCAAAATCGCAGTTACGAAACGAACATGGCCTTCACAATAGGCATGACCAAAAGCTAACCGTAACCGTATAAAACGGTTAATAACCGTAACCGTTAACCGTAAAAATAGATTAGTTACGATTAAAAAATATATTAACCATAACCGTTAATTAACCGTAAACGTATCAAAACCGTTAGTTAACCATACGGTTAACCGCACGGTTAACCGCATAATTAACCGTATAGTTAAAACCTTAAGTACATAATTATTTCACTAAACAAAGTCTTAGATGGTTCAACGCACCCACTACTAAATTTAATCCACTCCACTAGTCCACTACTCATTTTCCATAAATCAAATCATAAATAGTTTAGATAGTTATTACTTATTATTTATACTCTTGTAATCGTTTCTTAATTCTCACCACATCCTTTCTATAGTATTGTTTGGAATATGTGTTGTCAATATGACAATTACTCAATCATTATAATTATGACCATTGATTTAGTTATTCGTTGGTTTACTTAACTTTTCAAAATAGCTAATTAACTACATATATTTGAAACACATAATCACATACATTAGATATTATAAAATAAATACAATTATTTGATTTATCATCATTAATTTTTTTATTCTAAAGGTTAAAAAATCTAAACTTTTGTCTTTAATATTAACCGTATCGTAATCATCAAATAACCGTAACCGTATCGTAACCGTAACCGTTGTAACCGTAACCGTATTTAACCGTAACCGTTTTAACCGTAACCGTTTTAACCGTATATATAGTGGTTAAGGTTAAAGTTAGAGAAAATTTATAACCGTAACCGGTGGTTAATAAACCGTAACCGCAATAACCGTAACCGTGGTCATGCCTACTTCACAGTAATTTTAACAAATAAATTTTTATGATTTCACTTATGAATGTGTTAACAGTTATAAAGTTTGCGAAATAATTAAAATTTTATTGACTTGATTGGTGAAGAATTAAGCAATTTTCTCTATCACCTTGATAATATTGGGCCTAGCGATGAACCGGGCCAACGCCCATTAAATTTATCCGGTTTAATTTAAAACCGGAGACTCTTTGAGTAAAGAAAACCCTAATTGTATATAAACCAAAATACTTTCCTTATTTCTTCACTTCTTCATCGCCGTCTGCAAAAACCCTACGAGATCCATCAATTTCCACAGTAAACGACTCTTAACCATTTCAATTTCTCCATCTTCTTCTCCGATCGAAGTCTCCATTTACTTATCTGTTTATCATTTTTCCAGAAAATGAAGGTTGTTGCCGCGTTCTTGCTCGCTGTTTTAAGCGGAAAAGCTTCCCCAACCAGTGCCGATATCAAGACTATTCTCGGATCAGGTTCGTTTTGAAGAATCATAATCGATTTTACTACGTTATGTCTTAGATTCGTTGTTAGAGTCAATGATTTGAATCCTTATTAGATTGTTGAGAACTTGCTTAAGCTGAAATGTGATGTATATCATGGATTGTTAATGATAGTGGAGATGCGTAAGTTATGTAAAAGCAATGGTTTAGTGAACAATGGGATTCAATAATGAGTGTTTATTGTGTGGATTTATTAGTTTGTGATGATTGTTGTAATTGGGATGGAGGAATTGATGGAATGTGGCATTGTTGTTTTTGTTTGGTGTTGTAGTTGGTGCTGAGTCAGAGGATGCTCAGATTGAGCTATTGTTGAAGGAAGTGAAAGGGAAAGATTTGGCTGAGGTTATTGCTTCTGGAAGGGAGAAGTTAGCTTCAGTGCCGTCTGGTGGTGGTGGTGTTGCGGTTGCTTCTGCTCCATCTGGTGGAGGAGGTGGTGGTGCTCCTGCTGCTGAGTCCAAGAAAGAAGAGAAGAAGGAAGAGAAGGAAGAATCCGATGATGTAAGTTTACTTTCTTTCTAACAAAATTTTTTGATTTCTTAAGCATTGTTTGAATTGAGATGATGGCTCACTTGTGTGCTTTTGTGTTAATTTGCAGGACATGGGTTTCAGTCTCTTCGAGTAAGGTGGTAGCATATGAGTTCTGGTTTTGTTGTCATCTTTTTATATTGTAACCTTTTGAAATCTATATGTTGTTGTTGTTGTTTAGTTTGTGTTCGATCATCTTTTTAGACATTGCTGAAATTTTCAAGAGATTTTGACCCAAACATTACAATTGGTGTAACAATGTTGTCACTCTCGAGCTTATTTTGTTGCACCATTTCGTCTGACTATATTTCATATACCTCTCACAACATCAAAAGCTATGGTCTCAGACTAGAGTCCTAGTCATGGTCTTGACTCGCACTATGATGATATTCCAACTCCAGCCTTGACTGATTAGTTCTTGTTCTTTTTGGAGCATAGCTTCAGTTCGGCAGTCGTAAATTGAGAGCTCCCCAATTTTGAAACTTTAACTTTGATATTTGGTAACAAAAGAGTAAAAATTCTCTTCTCGTCTTGTATTGTTTCCCCTTTAATGCCGTTCCATATTATTAGTAACTCTTGCACAGTCATATCGCTCTTTAATTACATACCGGAGAATGCCATATGAAGGCGGACAACAGCGGTAGAATAGAAGCTACTATTGATGTCCTCGAGCAAGAAGGTGCTATAGCAGACGAGTTAGAGGTGAAATCACATCCTTGACAGTTGAAACAAAATAACACTAGAGAAATATCTCGTCGTTTCCTTCTCAACAAAATCAAAATACCCGTCAATCGAAATCTAGAGCCCATATAAAATTGGGCTTAAAAGTAACTGGGCCTAATAAATTTTAAAATCGGAGGAGAGGACATTGATAAAATAAAAACCCTAAGTGTATATAAATCATATAGTTTCCATTTCTCCGTACTTCTTCTCCATCGCCGTCTAAAAACCCTAATCTCACTCCGCCTCCTGCGAGATTCATCAACACTTGCGCAGTAAGCGCGCGCGTCTTATCCATTTATATTTCTGATTCTTCGTCTATGTATTCGTAGTCTTCTTGATTTTGACTCTGTTGGTGTTCTTTTTTATTCCAGAAAATGAAGGTTGTCGCTGCGTTTTTGCTCGCCGTCTTGAGCGGGAAAGCTTCTCCTACTAGTGGCGATATCAAGACTATTCTTGGATCAGGTTCGTTTCTTTAGAATTACTTTGAATTGAGCTTTCGATTTTTTTTAATATTGTAAGAGTTAATGGAGACTATTCTAGTTAGTGAGAATTGGTTTAACTTGAAATGTTATTTTGGAAAGTGATTATTGGAACTAGCAATTGTATTTGTTTGCTGGAAATGAAAACTTCCAAGTGACTGAACAGTGTTATCCAATAAGAGGCATTTATGGTGTTGGTTTTGGACTGTGTTGTGAGGGTTTAGAGAGTTCATGTATGTTTGTTCATGGAACAACGAAGCATTTAGTTAGGGATGGAGGAATTGATGGAGTGTGGCATTTGTTGTGTTTGATTTTGCAGTTGGTGCTGAGACTGAGGATTCTCAGATTGAGCTTTTGTTGAAGGAAGTGAAAGGGAAAGACTTGGATGAGCTGATTGCTGCTGGAAGGGAGAAGTTAGCTTCAGTTCCGTCTGGTGGTGGTGGTGTTGCAGTTTCTTCGGCTCCATCTGCTGGTGGAGGAGGTGGTGGTCCTGCTGCTGAGTCCAAGAAAGAAGAGAAGAAGGAAGAGAAGGAAGAGTCCGATGATGTAAGTATACTTTCTCTCTAACAAAAGTCTTTGATTTCTTAAGCATTGTTTGAACATTGAAATGAGATGATGCTCACTTGTGTGTGTTTTATGTTAATTTGCAGGACATGGGTTTCAGTTTGTTCGAGTAATGCGGTATACTTGGATTCCGGTTTTGCTGTACCCTTTTGAAACTTATATCTTGTTGTTTAGTCTGTACTCGATTATCTTTTTAGACGTTGCTGAAATTTTCAAGAGATTTACTCAAACATCAGTCCACTTGTTGTTATTGGCATTTATATTTCAAACTATTGCCTTTGTTACTTCATCAACCGCTTTAAGTTCTTAACAGATTTTACTTTTGAACGATCCTATAGTAAAACTGTTAACACATTTACTTACCAATAACCAAAGCTAGTAATACCAAATAATTTGATCTAAGAAATTCAATTCAACACCGAAAAGGAAAAATACAGAAAAATATCATTTAATAGCCAAACTTTCAAAAAGTGGCTGTTTGAACCATTTGAATTCGTTGACCATGCCATAAGAGACACCATTATCAGTCACTAACAGAACCGCTAACAGCCTTTGACACTTGTTAACGAGTATCAAAATAGTATTCAAGCTGTATGTTCTGATCAAATTATGTTAGTTCTAACAATTTCAGTTTGGTTTGGATCGGATTGATTTGCGGAATTAACATTTACCTAATTCTGATCAAGATTCAAAAGAGAGTGAAAAAGTCTTATGGAGTTAAGATTCCGAAACTAAATGTCAACAAACCAGTAAAAAAACTGTTTCAAGATCGGGTAACCAAAACCAAAGGAAAAGAGAGTAGCAGTAACATCAAAGTTTCTCACAAGAGAGGAATGGGTAAGGCACTCCCTGTTTATTCATTCACTTGTGTCCATCAATCAGTCACCTCCTTTACTCTTGGACCTCTGGCTGCTTCTTTCCACCTGCTTTCAAGTACCAACCAATCGAACCGAAAATAGCCACCACACCTGCCACAACCGCATAGTTTCTGTTCTTGTCTTCTGACACCTTTGGGCCCGACTCAGCTGACGCTGATGCTGTTGCACCAGCAGCCTTTGCTGACCCTGCTGCTTGTTCTCCAGGACCCTAGTAAGTTCAGAAGAAGTTTCAGAGCTCGAGTATTGGCCACACAAGACAAGACTGTAAATTTTCTCTTTTTTTTTCTTGATAGAACAAAGCTTCATCTAAACAAGCTATTCATAGTTTCAATCAACAACTTGAGTTAAGAGAATCATTTACCTGTCGGGCTATCTTCTCAAGCTTCTCCTTCTCCATTTTCTGCAATGTAGAAAACACATAAGCAAGATATATAGAAGAACTGAAGATGAATGTATTATCTAACTTGTTTCTAGTTCAAGCTGGATGTTACAAGGTTTATATAACAAATACATTTAGCTTCTAAAATTAGACACGATGTAAGTAAAACAAAATATTATCTGTTCACAACAGAGACAGATAGAATCAAGCAAGAGCTTGATGAAAAGTTTTCACCATCATCATCATAAAAGGAAAGAAAATATACTTTTAGGTTTTTTGAGGAATATTAGTCTACTATTCTTGTTCACATCAATAAGGAAAGCTTCTGATCTTTTACCTTAATGAAAACGTTCTCAGCAGCTTTCTCCTCTTCGCTAAAAATTTTGCCACTGGAGAACCTACGAGACACAATTCTCAAAGCATTTCTGGTTGCCATAGTAACAAAGAAGTATCCTGTACATAAAACATAAAACTCATTTTAACCAAGGCAAATAGTGACTGAAAGAGGTTCTAGGAACTAGCAAAATCATTTACTTTGAAAACCCTGAAATTGTTTCAAAACTCCATACAAACTGTAACAGAAGATCTATAAGGGAAAACACTGGTCTCTCACAATCCTTTTCGTCATCATCAATCATAACATCGAGAAGCAAGCAACTATCTCTTAACAACAAAAAAGTCTTTATATCAGCAGCACAATTAGTGATGATAGAGGTTCTTGAAGCTAACAAACTCGTTAACTTTGAAACATTAAAATTTTCTCAAGACTCCATACAAAAACAGTTACAGAAAATCTATTAAAGAGGGAACAAGACTTGAGGATACTTTTCTCTCAAATCCTTTTCGTCATCATCATCATTCTTACAATAGAGAAGCAAGCAAAAAACCTACTACTGTATCCAAGCATTCAAATCAAAACACATACACTAATGGATCCTTGTGGAGGCTGTAGAATGTAAGTATTTGTTATCAGAAACAATGAAACAAACACAGTTTCTCAAATAGCAAACCGATCCAAACCTAGGTTTAAGAAAACGTAAAGATGAAGCACAATAAGCTCAAAATCAATCCACTGACCATTATGTTACGTTAAAATCGAAAGCAACAAGAAGCATAAACTAAAATACATCATCCGGAAAAATCCGAGGATCGAAGACAAAAACAGGTCGCGAATAAAGAACAAAGCACTGATTATAACAAATGTACGCGAAAAACGTGAAACCTAATCCTGATCCGAAAACAGAGAAACGAAAACCTAACACCGACCTCGAAAATGGTGGTATCGCTAACGAAAAATCGAGGTCAGGTGTTAGATCGACAGAGAAGAAAAGGTTAGGAAAATTTCTGAGAGAATCTAAAAACGACAAGGAAAGAAACGTAATCGGAGAAGATGATCGGAAGAAATGAGAACCTTGTACGAAGGAAGATCGTTAGAAAGTTTCGTCTGGCTGCTGATGAAAACCGCTTAGAGAAGAAATGGACTCAGTGAAGAAGAAATGAAGAAGAGGAAGGTGAGAGAGAGATCTGGAAGGAGTTAAATGGGCTTAAAACTTAGCCATTGGGCCCAGAATCCCATTTGTATGCGCGTTGAACATTTGTGCCCACGAACACTAGAAGTAGAACTATTGAATATTTGTAGTGAGCATTATTAAACTTTTTTTAATGGCCGCCGCTTACATTTTTTTTTTTTTTTTTTTTTTTTTTTTTTTTTTTTTTTTTGACATCTTTGGATCGACAAGGCCCGATCCATAGTCAATCCTACTACGCGGGGTAACGCGACTTAGTGGAGTCGAACTCCGGTGGGGAAGGCGGAGTCAAGTGGACTTAACCACTTGACTAAAGGCACATCCCCCATGGCCGCCGCTTACATAGGACCAAAAAAAAAAAAAAAAAAAAAAAAAATGATTTTTGAAGTAGAAAACATTAAACTATTGATGATGAAATCTGATAAATCTTGAGTTTTTTTTTTTTAATTCAGCATACACAGATTTCGTTAATTGACTTTTTTAAAAATCGTTTTTGGATAATCATCGATTGAATAAGTTACAGTCTGATTTTTGGGATAAAAATTACATGAATTGGTGGAGAAACTAATATTACATGCTGTGGTTTCGGGCTTGGGGGGTTTACGGGCTTTGGCCCAGAACCTCCTGGTATTCAAAAAAAAAAAAAAAAAAAATACGATATGAAAGTTTTGATAATGCAATTAAAATTGGAACAATATGTTATATATATACATAAGATGAACATAATCCTAATTAATTACAATAGAATATTATAGTTGTAATGATAGGAGAAATCATAGGGATTGAATAATTGATTTGAATGTTGTTCTTTCCTTTTACAAGCTTCATTTTAGGTTTAATTATATTAATGGATGGGAGACAATCTTGGTTTGTATGTTGAAGATGAGAATGAGTTTAATTAAGTTGGGGAAATACAAGTTTGTTTAAAAAGGGAGTTACCATTGTGTGGCCCATTGTTGAAATAAAGTTAAGAAGTATATGGTTTCTGAGACAAGAGAGAATTTCTATCAATGTTTTCATTGATTTGTACCACGATAATTGATTGAGTTTTCTGATTTAAAATTGAGTTTGAGTTTTGATTTCATTTTTCTAATTAGTTTATAAAATTTTGTTTCTAGATTTAGATAGATTAATGAAACATTGGTCAAAAAAGTTTGAAATTAGAAAAATTTGCAGCTAGATGTGTTAAGTCGGAATAGATTTAACATTTAAGGCGGAGATGAGAATTCTTAAAGGTTTGGACACTGAAATACAAGCTCTAACAACTTGAACTCGGATTAAGTAGCAATACTAAAAAAACAACATCATTCTAACTGGTTGAGCTAACAACCACACTTAGAAATTTAATGTTTGGGATAAACTAAAGTTTTGATTAAAATGATAGCTCCACTTATATTCTTAAGAATTCGTTTAATAAGTGCTAATTTAAAAGAACTTGTATAAACGATAATGATGATAATAGTCTTTAAATCTGACATATTCGTATATGTAACCATGCATGTTCTCTCAATATCTATGTGAGTATATATAATCAAAAATTGCTTTTCCCGTAAGTTTCAGCCACAGTACAACCCCATATTTCACTGTCTCCTCCACATTACAAGAAGCCTTCAATTACAAGCAAGCACTCTAACATCTTTATTTGGCTTTTTCTTTTGTAAAGAAAAAGAATTATATATCTATCTGTTATTCTCAGTTTTTGATCTTCATGAAAACTCAATTGAATAATATTTTATTTAACTTTTTTTTTTGTTTTTCTGTTTTGCCTTCAACTTCACACCTAACATTTTTTTCTAAATTTAATCCATACATTTGCCTACTTTATCTATACGTATCTTTGTCTTATTTATGGATTGAGAACCAAACAATGAGAATAACATTTAAGCTAACTATTTCAAGTGATACCAACTCAAGAAAATTGTTATATTACCAATTCAATATAAACATGTTAACCTACTAGACCTTTCAGCCCCACTTGGTATTCTCTTTTTTTTTTTTTTACTATTTAGTTTTCCTCTCTATTAAGTATTAACCAATATTTCATACAAAACTAGTTTCAGATTTAAAATTTTGACCGATTAAGTCTCTAAAATATATGTTTTTATTCAGTGATAGTGTGTTGACTAAGAGGGCATTTTGGTCATTTGACATCGGTAACAAGTCTTGATAGGCTCTTAAGGCCAGTCTTGGGTTATATAACAAGTCATCTTCTGTCATTGAGGAAGAGAAAAAGGAATCTGAGGAACAATGGCAACGACAAGACAGATCTTGGAACAGCCACAATCGCCATTTATTCAACGTATCAAGAGCTCGGGGAACATTAGCATGAACGGCAGTCCTATGATTGATGACAAAGAAGAGGAGCTTTCACAGTCTGCTTTTGCTTTGTTTAAGGCAAAAGAAGATGAGATTGAGAGGAGGAAGATGGAGGTTAAAGATAGGGTCCAGACAAAGCTTGGACTCGCTGAGGAAGCTACTAGAAGATTAGCCGAGATTCGGGAAGTAAGTTTGGTTTTAAACATTTTCAAGAACTTGATGATCAAAGATTTTCATTTTGAGAGAGTTGTGGTTTGTACATTTCCAGGAACTGGAAGCTCTTACTGATCCAATGAGAAAAGAGATATCCGCGATAAGGAAAAGAGTCGATGCTATTAACCGGGAACTTAAGCCTTTAGGACAGAGTTGTCAGAGAAAGGTAAGCTAATGTGTGTTTGGAAATGTTCATAACTCTTATCTTTAATTTCCTGTAGATTATTGAGACCATTGGTTGTTGTTGTCGTCACAGGAGAGAGAATTCAAAGAAGCGCTTGAAGCTTACAATGAAAAGAACAAAGAGAAAGCTATATTTGTTAGCAAGCTAGTTGAGGTGAAACATTCTGTTTCCATTTGTCATTTCTTTTCAAGATGATTGTTGTTTTCTGAAATCTTTTGGTATGAAAATGTGTTTTTTCAGCTGGTTACCGAAAGCGAGAAACTGCGGATGACAAAGCTAGATGAACTCAGCAAAAGCATTGAAATATCGCTACGCTAACACAAGATGAAGGCTATAAAAGCAGCCAACTTTAATTTCTTCTTTCTTCTGCGCTTTTTTAATTGTTTGATTCGATATTTGCTTTTCTGTGTGATCAAATCTGTTTTCCTGATTCAGTAACCTTAGCAGAAATGTGTCAAAATATCACATTCTTGTGTCTTCATTTCTGTGTGACAATGTTTCAGAAATATGCCTTTTACTTCTTGACCCTGCGAGTTTTTTAATCGGAAACTTTAACCTCTATCAAAATTTCTTACAAAAGCATTCCTAATTCAATGTATTCTTATGTCTTCATTTCTGTGTGACAATGTTTCAGAAATATGCCTTTTACTTCTTGACCCTGCGAGTTTTTTAATCGGAAACTTTAACCTCTATCAAAATTTCTTACAAAAGCATTCCTAATTCAATGTATTCTTATGTCTTCATTTCTGTGTGACAATGTTTCAGAAATATGCCTTTTACTTCTTGACCCTGCGAGTTTTTTAATCGGAAACTTTAACCTCTATCAAAATTTCTTACAAAAGCATTCCTAATTCAATGTATAGTGAAAGAGAGAAACATACTCAAATATGTTACTATTTTCAAGAACTCAGTAGATAGATAAAACTAAAGTGGAACTTAATAGCCAGGACGTAAGAGTTTTTTCTCTCTTTTGGCGATCTTCCTCATCTTCTTCTGTTGAATCCTATCAGTAATATTCTCTGATCTCTTTTGCTGTTTCTCTACCCTAACCTTCTGTTGCACTTCAACTCTTTCCTTCCACTTCTCCGCATTCTTCTCGCGCCTATTCTTTTCCTTGCGAATTCTCTGCTTCAATCGCTTTGGATCATCACGAATCTTGATACCAGCAGCTCTGCTTTCCACGAGTGCTTCTTTGCAACAAAATCTCCTTTCTTAGGATCTTTCTTCAAAGCCTCTAACTTCGTCGCCATTTCAAGCTCTTTCGCCTTAGAAACTCTCTTTTTCTTTCTGTTTTTCGCGTACTCCTCGTCATCATCCCCAATCTTAACATAACCATAAGTAAGATCCTTCACAACCTCTTCAACAACATTCAAACCTGAGTCTCTCTTCCTCTTATTCTTCTGAAGACGACGTTCTCTCATCTTCTCAAATGTATCATCTTCTTGCAAACCAAGAAACATAGGCTTGATACCAAACTTTTCTTTTTCCTTTTCCAGCTTCTGTTTCTGCAAATCAAGAGTGGTCAAAACAGATTTTTCAGGGTCTAATCTATATCTCTTAGCCTTCTTTAAGTTTTCAATTGTTTCTCTCTTGGCATTAACTTTTTCTTCCTTGCTAAGACCTTGAAACCACTTCATTTCGTTATCATCGTCGGACAAGTAGATTCTCGCAGGGATGAGATTTATTAACTTGTCTGAGAAGTCAGCATGACGATGAATCATATCGACAATGTTGTCCGATTCAAGAAAAAGTTTCACCTTTTTATTTGTCATCTACAAATATAATGAAAAACAAATCACAATCAAAACAATGTCTTTTGCTTGTAGACAAGTGTAGAAGCTAAGAAGACACAGAGTTGCAGAAAAACCCTAAACCTAAAGCTTAAAAGGCTAAAACAGAGGAAAGAGATTTATAGCGAATCCCGCGTATTGGGCCCATAATTAATGGGCCTGTCAGAAAACCAAAACTAAATTGAATTGAAAACGGTTAAGCTAAACCGGATATATTTTTCTGTTTCCTCCGGTTTACAATCGACAAATCGGAGCGGCGGAGAGTGAGAGAGAGAGACGAAGGAGATGATGTTGTTAAACCCTAGCAATGGCGGAATCGAGGAAGAGAAGGAGAAGAAGAAGAAGGCGAAGGTGGTTGTGATAATGGGTCCAACAGGTTCTGGGAAATCAAAGCTTGCCGTCGATTTGTCGTCTCACTTTCCGGTGGAGATTATTAACGCCGACGCAATGCAGATTTACTCTGGTCTCGATGTTGTCACCAATAAAGTCACCATCAATGAACAAAAAGGTTACTTTTATCTTGATTCGAATTTTGTCAAAATTATCATAATTAGAGATGACGTTGGTGTCAGTGTAATTGGAATTGATTAGGTTTGTTTTTGATGTGAATTTGAGGGTTTGTTTAGGAGTTCCTCATCATTTACTTGGGACGGTGAGTCCAGATATGGAGTTCACAGCTAAGGATTTTCGAGACGTAACCATTCCTGTGAGTACAAATTTCACATTCCTCATCTTTTGATGTAATATGGACAAGTTACGTTCTAAGTGATTGGTATGATATAGTTGTGACTGAATTGTTTCAGCTAATTGAGGAGATTGTTTCTCGCAATCACATTCCAGTTCTTGTTGGAGGAACACTTTATTATATACAGGTGATCTTGTTGTTGCTCTAGCCATGTTGGTTTTGTGGCTAGACCACCGTATGATTTACCATGTTTATGTTCATGTTCTTCATGTAGGCTGTTGTGAGTAAATTTCTTCTTGATGATACAGCAGAGGATACCGAGGAGTGTTGTTCAGATGTTGTTTCAGGTATCTATCTACATTCTATATCAACATGATAATTTCTTGAGAAATTTATAACTGGATAATGAGAAATTTTGTGCTGATAGTTGTTGATGAAGTCTTGGATGTCGAGTCTGTCTCTGGGAAAAGTGTTTTGAGTCATGGCTATGATCTTCTTAAAGAGCTTGATCCTGTGGCAGCAAACAGAATTCACCCCAATAATCAAAGAAAAGTGAGATTTCTGATTCGCTATTTTCTTCTGTGACAATGATCGTGAATTTATGTGGTTTTTCTGGTCTTTACACAGTTTCATATGATTTCTTGTTTACTCACTCTGGTCTGATGTTTCATAGATTAATCAATACCTGAGCTTGCATGCTAGTAGAGGAGTTCTTCCAAGCAAGCTATATCAGGGAAAGACTGCAGAGGTAGGATTCCTTCTATTTTACCCAGAGTTTAGTTTCATTTTATAAATATGCAGTTAGATGTGTGTATCTCTCTTACGTAAATCATTATCCCTTAAATTTAAAGAGCATTGATGACCCTTAAGCTTAACTGCTTTGAGAAGTTAATTAACTAATGTATTTCGGCAGGGCAGAACTGGGGCTGCATCGATGCATCTCGTTTTGATTACTGTTTGATATGCATGGACGCTGAAACCGCAGTACTGGACAGATATGTTGAACAAAGAGTAGATTCTATGGTAGATGCTGGACTACTTGATGAAGTATATGACATCTACAAACCAGGAGCCGACTATACTAGAGGCCTAAGGCAATCCATAGGTGTCAGAGAGTTTGAAGATTTCCTGAAACTAAATCTCTTGGAGAGAGGTGTTGGTCAGTTAACAAGCTCAAGCAACAATGATAAGGTTATGAAGGAGAATCTGAGAAAGATTCTGAATTTTCCGAAAGATGATAAGTTGAAGATTATGTTAGAGGAAGCAATTGATAAGGTGAAGTTAAATACCAGAAGGCTCCTTCGTCGTCAAGTAAGTTCTCCTTGATGCACAACTCTCTAACTTTGGAGATTTATCTATCAGGTCTAAAACATTTCATTTGTTGTGTTTCAGAAAAGGAGAGTTAGTCGGCTAGAAACGGTCTTTGGCTGGAATATCCATTACATTGATGCAACAGAGTACATATTAAGTATGCATTATGTGTTGCATCAATGTTTCAAGCAAATACCGTAGAGCTACTTGGAGAACAAACTTTAAAAATGTCTCTTGTTGTTGTGTTTTTTGTTCTTAAAAGGCAAATCTGAAGAATCATGGGATGCGCAAGTGGTTAAACCTGCGTCAGAGATCCTCAAGCGTTTCCTGATGACAGAAACTGATACCGGTCATGATTTAACCTCCCGAAAGTCCATTGAAAGAGATTTATGGAGTCAATATGTTTGTGAGGTATGTCTCAGTTTCCCTTAAAACTCCAATGGAACCTCCCTAAATACTAAAACAATGTTTGTTGAAAGCAGGCTTGTGGAAACAAGGTACTAAGAGGAAAACACGAATGGGAACAACACAAACAAGGCCGTACGCATCGTAAGAGAGCCACTCGACTCAAAAAGGCCCAAACTTTCAAAAACAGAGAAGTGCAAGAAGCAGAACTAAAAGTGCCTTAAATTCTAAAAGTCTGTCGATTTTGCATTCGAATAGGTCATGAAAAGGTTAATGTCACAACAGTTTCTTGATAGAATACTCTATGGAATCCAAAATAACTTATTGTCCATTTGCTTAATAATGTGTCAGAATCGACAAAATCATGAGTTTACCTTTGAAACAATTGAGAAATATTATTTTGGTTGTTGCAAAAAGATAAAAGAGAGGAACAGTTGTCCAAAGAGATAGGGAGGAATGGTGCTGTAAAGTGAAAAAGAGGTCACGAGATAAATTAAAGGACAAGTAAATAAATAAGATAGACTCACTCCAAAATTGGTCCTTATACAGTATGTCTTTTAATATACACGTGTCATACGTTTACTTTTATTGTAACCATAAGGGCAAAATGTTCACCCTAATTATTGCAACTAGAATTTGTACCCGCGCAACTTAATTAAAATTTTTTTTATTAACAAATAATTTGAGCACAAAATTTAATCATTTAAATTTAAAAAATAAATATTTGAGCATAAATATAATCATTCAAATTTTAACATTATTTAATATAAAATGTGAATATACCCAGTTTCATGAACATTATTTAGTGTAAAAGCACATCTATAATATCATGTTGCTAGAACCGTTTTAGCAAAGCTTTTTTTAGCCATTGAAGCAAGTGCATAGTGCCATAAAAGAATTCTCGACTAAGTTATCAATGTGCCTATTTTACCTAACTTTTCATGATTACACGACCAAACAGTTGAGCCCAACTTTGAATCTAATAATCTGTTTAATAATGTGTGTCATATATTTTAAAAAAAAAAACTCATTCGTTTCACACAATGCATGAGATCTCAAAGAATTTGAACTTTTCATGTGCATTATATTTCTAAGTTTTAGAAATTTATTTTTAAACACATTTAATTACCAATTCTTTCGTCATCGTCTATGATGCACTCGTTGACCCGATCTACATCTACTTTCTTTTCACCTTCTATTGACTCACATATTATATATATTGGACTATGAATTTATTTTCAAGACATATCATTAACTATTTTCTTCTTAATTACTATATTTCAATACTCAAATTTTTGGGTTAAAAGTATTTGATTCAATTGATGATATATCAATCTTGTTTTTCTTTTTGATCATGTTATAAAGTTGTAGTTGCAGTTGAGAATATGCTATACAAATTACATATCACTTTTTTTTTTAATGGCTTATATTTCATTTTTGTATATTTTGTGTAGAACTTGTGATCATTGATTATTTCTTTTTTTTAAGATGGATCATAATGTTTCAAAATTTTCAAGATTTTTTTTTATAATTTCACAAGATAAATTGTGACTCTTACACTACCTCCGTCTTAAATTATAAATTTAAGTTGAGTTTAGTTAACTTTTATTGTTCTTTAAGTAAAAATTTAATACTAAATTAAACTATGTAGTATATTGTTCTTAGAAGTTAATGTTTCACTTTAAATTTTATTTTCTTGTTTAAAATTTTACATATAGAATTACATAAATTTATTTTATTCTACCATGTATTTAAAAGTTACTTCCATTCTAAAATTCATTAACACATTTAAAGATTTGAAGTATGATCATTTGTAATTTTTATCTATTAAAAATGGAAGTATTTTATTACTACTAATAATATTTTTATAGTTTTTTCTTATTTTAACATATCATTTATGTTACATAATTCGTTTTTTATTTATTTAAATTTTTTATTAATTATAAGTAACATAAATATGTACTAAATGAATGTTTAAAGTGTATTTTAATATAAAATAAATAATGTTGCTTAGGTGGATGCTTAGGTGGATAGGCTAGATGGAAAGAAAACTCTCCCATTATATATATATAGATTTTATTTGAAGTAAATCCACTTTTAAACATTCATCTAATTCGTTTATTCGCAGACAAAAAATGTCGTCAGGTCGTGGATCATTGAAGATGTTCGTCAAGAGCATGAAGAAGGAAGTGTCGTCTATCGTAGATCTAATAAGGGTCGGAAAAAATTGCCTGTTGTAGAATCGTCTATGTAACAGTTCTCATAATTTGCAATAAATAATAAATTCAAACGTTAAATAAATAAATAAAAAACTTCTCAACTTAATATTTGTAAACGAAATTAATTTTTCGTCTAAAAGTATGTTCACTTGTCTAACGATAGGTCTAATTTTATTAACGAACTTTTAGTTTAAAGAATTTTCCAACTAAAAAAATTCAGTTGGTAGTTTAAAAATAGATTTACCAATAGGCATTAGTTAATTAAGCTTTTCAACTAAAATCTCAATATGTAGTTATAACCTCCATTTGAACCATTGTTTTAAAACCTAGATAGCACAAATGTAGTTAGATCGGGTTTAACCACAAACTTAATTGGTGGCGGATTGAGAGGTTGAGACTTTAAAAATACCAAGAGATTTTAAACAATATAAAAACTATTTATCTTTGCTATGATATCAAATCTCATAATTTGTATGT